CTCAGAAATTCAGTCTTCAATTGTAGTTTGGCAAAAAAGTTTATGAAGAAAAAGAGTATGCTAGCTTTACAGATCGGGAGACTCTGCAGCGTACTTGGTGCTCCAGCCCCGTGGAATACGATTTGAAATTGGGCCGATGGCACATGCAGTCCCAGGTCAGATGTGGCTCTGTGTGTGCCTGCAGCATCTCAAAGCCAGGTAGAGAGTCCTCACAGTACCTGCTGTCCCACCAAACGGCGTAGGAGCTCTGTGAAGAATGACAATGAATGTTGTTCATGTCCCTAAAATAGTCTGACTTCCCCTAACGGCTGAGTGGAACAAGTCTTGTCTTTTTCACCCACATGCTGATTACATGAGCCAGGACCAGCGTAAGGTTTCAAGAAACAAATTCTGTTTTAATGCCTGACCTTAAAACCAACAGTTTTTTGGCAGGCAGCCTTCCCATGCCAGACATGCTAAGTCTTTTATGTATAATGTTACTAGTAGTGGCTGATGTCCTTCCTTAATTCAACCACCATTTTGAGGGACTTTTGCTACTTAGTTTATCAACTACTTTATCTGAAAGGGAAGTGGAAATGTGACGTTAAAAAAAGTTTGAAAAAACAAGCACCAAAGCTTGCAGACGTGTACTAATTGTCAATAGAGTGCAACTGTTTCCCCGAGTTAAAAAAAAACAAAACATTATTATTTTAGATAATCTTGTTTACCAGTCTAATACTTCGGGGGGAAACTACTTTACCAATGATTCTGTAAAAAAAAAAAAAAAGACAATAACCTGTGTGGCCTAGGTAACATCAGTACAAAAGGAATCAATGAATTATTCAAAATAAGACCAAAAACATGGCTTTAGAAAGTAAACAATTTATTTTGGTTACAAGTTTAACTTCAACAACTTAGTGCTAATGAGGGTGAAAGTATCTGTTGTGATTAATCGGTACCTGTTAAAGCATTTGTAGTTGGCTGGGGTGAGTTTGTAAGGTGGCTCAGGCAGATGGGTACTGATCTTAGCTAACAGGCTCTCGTTGTCAATGGGTTTTTCCTCCCAGGGTGATTGGTAAGATTTGGGGATCACAGTGACATTGAACTTTTCCGGAGGAACCTCTTTCAGAGGCCCCCCATAACCTGTGTGAGAGAATTGAGAGACCTTCAGGATTTTCCTTTGACTTTGAGAACAACAGAAACCTAAATGTAAGAGAACAGAATTAAAGATAGACATAGTGCTGTATTTACCAGGTGCAAGCACACTTGGGATTCCTTTCTTTGCAACCGTGTGCTTTAGTGTGGTGACTAGGCTGTTCTTTCCAGGCTGGTTGATGTAGATTTCAGAGTTGAAGCAATCACTTCCTTTCTCTCCTTGCGTGGCATTCTGGCCTTGAAGTGTTTCCTGTAAGTGCTAGACAGTGTTAAAACATCATGCATTATTACTGAACCTACACACTTAAAAATAAAAGGTCAAAGAACCTTCTTAGATAAGAAGTTTTAAAACTAACTTTTTTTTCCTAGTGTGAAGAACATTTTAATAATCTAAAGAAACTTTTGTGCAATGGACAGGTACTATGAATGTTAAAGGTTCTTCATGGAACCATACTGAACCAGAACCAGTACTGTCTGGGGTTAAAAGTTACTTCAGGGTTGTCCAATCCTGCTCCTGGAGGGCCTGCTGGGTTTAGTGCCAACCAGCTGCCTGGAGGTTTCTAGTGGTCATGAAGACCTTGATTAGCTGATTCAGGTGTGTTTAATTAGGTCAAGAAACTGCTGGAAGGTGGTCCTCCAGGTGTAGGATTGGACACCCCTGAGTGCGTAGATTGCTCACTAAACATCTTTAATTTTGCTCAGGGTTATCCAGTCCTGCTTCTGGAGGGCCTTCTGGCAAACTCATCAGGGCGACTAGAAACTTCTAGGCAGCTGATTGGAGCTAAACTACTAAGGAAGTTGGCTCTCCAGGAGAAGGAATGGTCACCTGGTTTCACATTCAAACAGCTTCCACAACCCATTTTACTTCTGTAAATTAAAAGTCTCGCAACTCTTGAGTAAAACAGGATATTAAATGAGAATAAAATAGGGCGGGACTTGATTTTATCCAACAGGGATTGATTGGATCATGAAAAGTGGGTGTTCCAGAATAGAACCGGACTGAATGTGAGTTTGCAGTCAATTGTGGAACTTTTGAGGAAGCTTTTTGACGTGGAGGCAGAAGGGCAAATTCACCCTGAAGATGATTTCAGCACATCTCAAAGGTAAAAATTTTTATTCAGACATATTATTTGTTATTATTGCCACAATATTAATGTTAACCCACACAGAATTGTCTTGCCTATTGACATTACCATAAATCTATAAAATAGCTATTTGGCTACTGGTTAACACTGGGGCCAAATTCATAAATTCATAATGATAATGAACTCATAAGTAAATTGGGTCCATTCTGATTTCATGTTGACTTTAACCCGGTGAACACAGTAAGATGTCTTACACTGAGGTGTCTCTGTGCTATATTCTCCAAGGTGAACCTCTCCACTCTTTTGAGTCTCTCGTGAAACATTATAGATCCTCTGTTGGACAGCAGATTGAGCTCCTCCATCATCAGATACTGAGGAACACTGATCTTCTTCCCCAGGTTCAAACATGCTGATTTACATGTACAGATATGTTGAAATGCATTGATATTAATCACAGAACAACTATCCTTTATGACATGAAATTACAATGTTATAAACTAATAATTACAGCACTATAAACTAGTAATTACATGCCATTCTTCTGAAAGTTGATGGGAAAACTATTTTTTATAGACATTTGCAGGTTTTATTTAATAGTGTATGATCATTCATAATTTATGTCATCAAAAGCATGTCTAACATTCTCTGTCATCATTTTGGCTCTCCAATCATGCACAATATGTGTGACTGTGATTAAATTATTAAAGTTGACACAGGCATCAGGGTGTAACCTCAGCCTGCTGCTTGTTCAGTAATGTTTAAGAGGATTCAGATCTTTCCCAATCAGGCGTGGTTGAGTCATGATCTCCTGGAGCAAAGCATTTAGTCTCCTGCTGTCATATTATTACATTACACATACTCTTACTGTTTTGGAAGCCGAGTCAAAGCAGTTGAGACATGCCAGAGCAGAAAGTGAAAATTTGGCTCACTGTTTTGCTTTTTTTCCCCACACGTCACAGTGCTGTTGCTTTCAAGCTGATTTCATTGAATTAGTCTCATCTATTGAGATGGCATGCTGTTTAAAAAAACTGAGCTTTTTTCATGCTTCTGATGTGTCTTACCTCCATCTGTGTCCGGAGCACAGCTCCTGTTGCCCTTTCTTGGGTACGTCAGTGTATGGCACAGGCACGGTGATATTAATCTTGTCCAGCCTTCAATAAAACTGGTCCAGTAAGATTAATAATTTATTTTTATACTTTTTTCCCCACTAAATTAATCTGATTTGACCCTTTCTTTGTGATAGATATATATGTACTCCTTTGATCTCAAATCAGGCCTGAAAACACTTGTTTAAACTGAGTCACATAGATCACAGAACAAACAAATCCTTTGATTACAGCTAAACTTACCAAATTAAAATCCTGTGTTTGCCTTTATGCCAGTCTAGATGATGTATCCTGTTCAGAGGTAGAAATGCTTATGTGAGCCCACATCAGACTCATTGTGGACCCTCTTTTTGCCCTGGTTAGATCACTGTCTTATTATAGCAAGTGAGGTGTGTATCTAATGGCCTTGGATTAGCATTGTGGAGCTTCAGCATCCACACTAATGAAAACTTGATCCACTAGCCATAATACAAAATAAAAGTGTGCAGACTGGTGACCGGGGAGGAAGGCAAGACTCTGAGTCATTTCCAAGTATGTCTGCCTCTGAGGTTCAATACCTTTTGCTGCAGATATCCCAGGGGTCTGAGAAGAGGCTTCATTTTCTTCTTCTTCGTTGTTTGGCTAAATAGAGTGCTGCAGGGATTAACTATTTTTGAAGGCCAAACATGAAAATTAGCATTTTATCACTTCCAGTTTAATTGCCTCAAAGGTTTTTTTGAATTGTTTTTTAGTTAAGTGCCTGAAATAAAGTCTGTGGTTAAAACAAGCTCAAGATATATTCACCTTTTACTCTTACATCATAAAATACATCAGTAATACACCATTTGTGATTTAAAGCTTTTTCTTGTCTTGAAAAAGGCGGCTGCTAACAAGTGGCTAAATGGGACTGCAGAGATTGTTGGGGACGTTAAATGTCATAATGCCATTTTACAGCCTCTTTGTGTTAATAATCACGCTCTTGCAAATTTTTCTAACTCAAAATTTCATGGAAAATGGTTTTTAAAATAAAAACTGAAAGAGCTGTCAGACGCTTAATGGTGGTTATGTTATAGTCATGTGACCTTGGCTTAGTTTGTTTGTAGTCTATGTTTAACTTTTAACTTTGTGCGATTGTATTTAGGCTTCAAAATTCATGTCAAGTTGTGTTAATTTGTGAAGATTGTCATGATGATAATCAAACCTTTGTTGGTCATAAAGCTTATTTTATGAAATAATCCAAAAGCCAATGGAAAAATTCTGTCTGTTTTTTTGTCAAGGGAACCAGGTTGATGCTAACTGACAGGTTAGCCTACAAAAATTCATCATATGTGAATTATTTAGAACAACAGCATTTGTTCTTATGTTATATTGCTTGAATATGTTTTTTTTTTTTTTTTGGGATCTTCCAAAAATGCTGGAAAACTTGGTAAATAACTAGTCTAGGATCTTGTTTGAATTAGAATCAAAGATAATCTTAACAACTGGAGACAATTTAATTTCACAATTTAATTTCATATAATCATACACATGATGTTCACACAGGATGTTCATAGAAACGAGCAAATCCAGTCATACTGAGACAAAAAAAAACAACAACACATATCATCTTACACAAAGTACAAGAGTTTTGCTCTGTTAAAGATAATTCTCCGGTGTGACAACTATCAAAACAGCTTAAGAAGACTATATATATTTGTGATAGATACACGGATGCCTCTTCCTTATTTTAGGCTGGAAATCTTGCTTGTGTGCATTATTTATGCCCTGGTATGTCATATTTCTCAAAAACGTGACAGCGAAAGCATGATTTACAGATTTTAAAGAAAGCTTGTCTAGTCTGAGAGCAAGAAAAACTCTCTGTAAGATCACAAGAGATAAGAGAGGGAAAAATTATTTGTTTTGTTGTTTTCCTGCCAGTCTCTCTTGGCAGCCAATTTACAAACAGCAAGAAAGATCATTAATATAATTACAAAAAGAGTTTTCTGAAGTAAATATTTTATACGTGGTTTACGTTAACAGAAGAATCAGAGCAATTGTACAAAATAACACTTGGAAGTGAGCAGATTCATTTTTTCTTATTTACAATATTGTTACTGATCCAGTTCATGCCATCCTGAAAGAAAAAAGAAAAAAAATGTCTCAAACCATTCCCATAAGGGTACAATTGAAATAAATTGACTATATATTTACAAACCTGTACACCCTCCCCAGATACGGCAGAACAGGCCTGGATCTGCCACTCTCTGTCCCGGTACGTGTGCAGGTTGAGGCCCTCTGCGATCTCACTGGCCGGAGAGGCTGTGGCCAGGTCCTGTTTATTGGCAAAGATGAGCAATGGCACACCCTTCAGGTTCTCCTCATCGATGAGCTCCGAGAGTTCCTGTGGAAGAAGGTCAACACAGAGGATTTAAAAAGAGTGTAATCAGTACCACATCGAGGTGAGCATATGTGAATCCCAATTCATATACTATTTGGCCTATACTATGGTTGAGTGAGTGAAGTGACGTTTGGCCAAGTAGTGAAGTGACATGTGGTGACGTGGCCAACCACGGGGGAGTGAATAACCAGCGCTGTTTCATTTGAGTCTTGAGACAAAAGCTATCTAGTCTCTGCGCATTACAAGTGAAAGAAATTAGAGGCAGATTGCTTGACATATCATTATATCAGATAAAATGCTTTTCAAGAAAAAAAGAGGAGAAGCTGTGATTGTCACAGATTGATTCCGTGTAGTCTTACCAGTCCTGCTTCCTCAAATCGCTTTTTGTCTGCACTGTCAATCACATAAATCTAAAAAAGGGAGAGAGAAAAGGGACTATTAAAGAGATAAAAGCTTTTTGACTGATACACAAAACAGAAATGTAATTAGATATGTGACTGTAAATGCTCTCACAACATGGCCAATGTCATTGAGAAAGTTAACTGCTGTCATACCAATAAATCTGTGTTCTCCAGGTACTTCTTCCAGAATGGTCGAATCTTCCTCTGTCCTCCAATGTCCCACACATTCAGCTTCATGCTATCACAGGTCACACTTTTAATGTTGAAACCCTGAAAGAACAAAATTAGAACATGATACAGCTGTGGATACACTCAAAAAAAAAGAAAAAAAGAGGAAGCTTATGCAATTTAATTAATAGTAAATCTCCATCAAATTGAATGGAATAATCCTTACATATTTTAACTGAATAACTGAACTATCCTTAATCAATTATTCAATTAAAATTACGTAAGGATTATTAAATTCAATTTGATGAAATTTTACTATTAATTAAATTGTGTAAATCTTAAAGTGTATTGTTTTTTAAAGAATTCTTGTGATTTTAAATCTCACAATTGTAACTTTAATTCTCATAATTTTGACTTTCATACTTTCATACTATCATACTTGTGACTTTAAATCTCACAATCGTGACTCTGTCCAGAATTGTAACTTAAATCTCTCAATGTGACTTTAAATCTCACGATTGTGACTATAGATCACAGTTGTGAATTTAAATTTCACAATTGTGACTTGATATCTCACACCTATGGCTTTAAATCTCACAGTGTGACTTTAAATCTCACAATTGTGAGATTTAACTTGATTGTGACAGTGACAGTGACTAAATCTCAGAGTTTCGACTTCATATTATCTATCTCACAATGTGACACAAATCTCACAATTGTGACTATATATCACAACTGTAAATTTAATTCTCACAATTGTGACTTTGTCTCAGTTATGACTTGATATCTCAGTGATATAACAGTGACTTTAAACCTCACAGTGTGACTTTAAATCTCACAATTGTGACTTTATATATTTCACATTGACTTAAACCTCCCAGTGTGACTTTATATATCACAACCGTGAATCTCCTAATTGTGACTTTATATATCCCAACTGTGACTTAAATCACATAATGCATCTTTATATCTCATAGTTGAAACTATATATATATCTCATAGTGTGACGACTTCTTATATTAAGTATTTCTTATTTTAAACTTTATCTCATAGTTATCTTCTTAGTTTTTTTTTTTTTACTATGGAGCAGAAACAGGCTTCCATAATGATGGCTTGATTAGGTCACAATCCTAACAACACCACAGACAGAGGCACAATGTATTTAAACTCTCCTAGTCTAAATTTATCATGCCCCTGAGCAGCCTTCAACTACTGAGACTTTATGGTTAAGTAATCTTTAACCGTGGGATTAAAGACACTGTAGTGGTGCTATTCTTAGAGAGGATCTTTTCTCCCCACAGGCCTCCGCTCTTTACAGCTTTAACTGGCTGCAGCATCATGTCTGTGTAGACTGTGTAGACAACAAATAGTCTCACATTACATCTAGGTCCCAGGATATTTTAAGTAATGAAGTAATGGTCTACCAACATCTTAACTAGTAGAGTCCAAAAGAATTCATGCTAAATATTGTGTTAACAGCCATCAATTGCAGCCACTCTACAAATTGAATATACTGTCAATTAATGATACATGAATTCAGACATTTATAAATTGAAATGAGAGACTTTTTTTGTCAAATGTGTTATCTCTATGGCTGACTTCATGCTAATAACTAGCACTAATACACACAGTGATGGCGTGCTCTATCACTGACCTCTCAACAGTACATATTTTTTGGATAGTAACTGCCATCAAGTAGTAAACCGCTCTCTTTTCCAATTCTGTATGGTATCTAAACTGAAGTGTAACTGAAACTGAACTGAAGTGTCAAAGGAGAATATTTGAGAATATTTCTACTGAATTTGTTAAACATTAGAAAAGCACAAGAAATGTGTTAACATTCCACACCAGCTAATAACTTCACACCTTTCAACAGCCTCAGCAAATTAGGCTGAATTATTCATGAGACATGTTTTTGCCATCCATAACACATGATTAAAGAGTAAATGTACATTCTGGAATGGCAAAGGTCTGTGCTGCTTTCATAACCACATGTCGATGTGGTCCATAACCTACAGACGATGCAATTTCCTCCACCCCTCCACCTGGCTCTTACCCACCTAGAAAATAAAGACTCCTATGTTAGAATGCTGTTCATCGACTTCAGCTCAGCATCCAACACAATAATCCCACAACAGCTCATCAATAAACTAAACCTGCTGGGCCTTAGCAATTCCCTCTGTAATTGGATCCTGGACTTTCTATCTGGAAGACCTCAGTCAGTCCGTGTCGGCCACAACACCTCGAGCACTACCACACTGAGCACAGTTGCCCCACAAGGCTGTGTGCTCAGCCCGCTGCTCTTCACGCTGCTGACCCACGACTGCACTGCCAAGTTCAGCTCCAACCACATCATCAAGTTTGCGGATGACACAACGGTGGTAGGTCTCATCAGCAACGCAGCAGAATGACAATAAAGCTCAACTTGACTTGAAAAACTTGACTTGATGTGTTCTGATTGTCAAAGTAACACTTTTTTTTTAACAAGCATATTAAGTAAGTGCAAGAGCAAACTGTAAAAAAATGTAGTGCATTGAAAGCCCCTAGCAGCTGCTCTTCTCACCTGAGTTGGAGTGATGGTGTTCACATCTCCTGAGGCGAGTTGTTTTAACAAAGTGGTTTTTCCAGCGTTATCAAGACCAAGAAGAACTATCCGCAGCTCTTGCTCTGTAGTGCCTTTTAGCTTCTCAATGACTGAAAACAAACCCTTGAAAACAAACATTTGTACATAAAAGATCTAATTAAAGTTTCATTTTAAGTTTCAGGTACATCCACGGAATCTCCAATCCATCACAATGATGTGTATAACATGAATAAACTATTCTTTGATCCAAATAAGCCCCTCAAGCAGCTTGAAACACTTACCTTTTGGACTTCTCCCATAGTGCCGTGAATTTTGTGGTAGGAAGAGGACGTGGAGAGAGATGAAAAGACGCAGCTACATTCTATGCAGGAAATATCCAAGTAAGCATTTGGTTTTCTTATCGTCCACTGTTTCTTGAATCCTCTTCCCTCAAAATACTTGGCCTTCACTTCACAGGGAGCAGTACCTTTCCTTCAATATGTGCCTGGCCTTCCTCGAATGTGACATAGGGGAGGATGTGGAGGTGGGTGAAAGTGGAGGAGGGGTTGGATTAGCAGGCCACAATTAGCAGTCTCTCCGCCTACCTCCCCTCCACTCGTCTCCTCCAGCACATCTCCAGCATTAAAGACTTACCTGGATTATCCTTAATCCCCACCTGCTTCAGGACAGGTCTCTGAGACTTTTCCCTTTCCTCTAAGCTTGGTTGGCCCTCACATCTCACTTGTTGTTTTCTGAACCAACAAGTTACAAGAACAAACAAACTAAACAAGATCTCATGCCATGAGAATGAGATACTACTTGTTATTGAAGTGAATGCAGCTTCACAATACCTCTCCCAAGCAGCAGAGGGCAGTAGTGTTTATATTTGAAATTAGTTCTTCAGGGTGTAATGTGAGGTAAGGGAACATTGTTAGGATGGGGATCAAGGGATTCGGGTTGTCTAATAGAGTGCTGCAGGGATGATGTACTTTTGTAGGCTGAAACCTAGAAATGAGTTAGAATTTAAGCACTTTCGGTTTCATTGTCCTGAAGTCAGTGAGGTTTTTGAATGGGTTTTTTGTTAAATGCCTATATATATATATATATATATATATATATATTCTTTTTATGCTTATTAGTTAAAAATATCAATTTTTATATTTTAATTGTATTATTTTAATATTTTAATATTAATAACAATAGGCTATAAGAATTAGGGCTGGGTTTTGACACAAATTTCACTATTCGATTCAATTCTCATTCACAAGCTTGCGATTCGATTCGATTACCAATTTGATTTGATTCGATTCGATTCATGGATTTATTCAAACATAAATTAAACATTGAAGAATTTTTTAAATATTTTTTTATGAAGAACAATTTAGAATGAATATGTTATATGGTGCATATGCAAAATGCCCCACTCTACAGTTTATTTTTCTAGGTGACTAATGAGTTTATGGTCACTGAATATATTTTTCTGAGGTAAATGTGATGTTACATGAATTGTTAACAAGCTGTTATATTGACATCTTTGCATGGCTGAAACACTGATTTAACGATTACGAGACAGGATACTTGCACTCTTGTACAAGAGTTGTACTCTTTCTTTTAACTTACCTTCGGATGTTTAGTCATGTTTATTTTGTGCTGAAACTGGTATTAATGTGGAGGAGATAATCAGTTCACGTGCGCTACGCGCAGTGTTGGGAAGGTTACTTTGGAAATGTAATAGGTTACAGATTACAAGTTACCCTATTTAAAATGTAATAGTAGTGTAACTTTTTCAATTACTTTATTAAA